CTTTTCATTCTACTGCCCCCCTGAAAAAGGAAATCGCCCCCTGGGGGGCATTATCGCCCACGTTAAGAACCACTGTGTTAGACTACAACTCCTATTAGCCTCACCACACATGCCCAAGGCGAACTCTAATCTGCCATATCAAAAGGCAGTATGAGGTCCCAGAGTATCAACAAGGTCACATTCCTCCTTCCAACTGCTAGATCAAGAGCAAGAGCTATGAAGACAGTGAGTTTCTGCTAACTGTGCTCTCCAATCTGTCGGCTAGCCAGATGTTGGGAGCTTGATTCCCCACTGTGTCTTCTTGACAGGGAGTGGACTTGATGATCCATAGGATCCCTTCCAACCTCTGCAGGTATGATGATTATTTGTTTCTTGTGCAGAACATGCTATGCACACACACCCAAGCACAAGCACGCGCACGCACGCACGCACGCACGCACGCACGCACGCACACACACACACACACACACAGACAGACAGCCAAAGGAAAGTTATAGCAATATAACAGCCACAAGAAATAGCATATGGGCTTGCTTAGCATTAGAATGAAGAATTAAGGAATGTTTAAGGCAAAATGATTCCTTCTTTTAAAAAAAAGGTGTGCCCACTGAAAGACAAATTGGATCCCACTGAATGCCTTCAACTGATGCTCAGAAGCTTCTCTCCAGCCTCTGCTAGGCTGGTGAGTACATGGGAACATGAGCTATCAGATCTCAATACATAATTAATGTGACTGTGGATGGGGTGGCTCACCCAGAGTCTGTGGATCTGTGCATTATTTATAAATGTGAAACTGACGCACCATAAAGGCAGGCCAGGAATTTCTCTGCCCTACAGCTAATGTTCTCTTCTGCAGTGTGCCACTGCAAATGTACAATCCCCTGATTTAATTAATACTTCCACCATAACATTTTGAGCACAGAAGTAATATTTGCCAAGGCAGTTTTTATGCCACGACATTTCCTTTGCAGACAGATGGGCTGGGTAGAAGCCCATATTTCTTAATTAAGTTATACGAGGTGGCTCTCCATCTCACATAAATCCTTGAGTCACTTAGATAAATTAGGTAAAAGTTACATTTCATGAAGCCCCATTTTCATAAATAAAATCACCTTGCCCTAAGAAACACTTCCTTTGCCCGTAGTGCTTAAAGATCTCTATGAATGGTTTATAATTTAATTATGCACGCACGCACACATGCACACACACACACACACACACTCCACAAGAGTGACTGTGTACCTTTTGTTTTGAAGGCAAAATTACACAACTTGCATATATAAGGCCGGACGTCAGTATGAGTGCGGATATGTTTTTTTAGCATACTTGGCTTCTTGCAACGAATCCCACATTCTTCACAAATATACTTTCCACGTCCACGTCCTCTGACATAAACATAATCCTCATTGGATTTATACCTATTAAAAGAAAGGCAATGTGAAAATTAGGTACAGGAGTCTGAATCCACATCCACAGCTAGCAGCTATATTAGGTTAGACCACATCCAGTCGCTACTGCACATTATTCCATGAAAGAAATGAAGACAATTTGTACGAATGGCACATTTGCAGGATATGGCCCATGATGTAATTGCTTCACAATTTTTTGTTTTCTGTATGCCATGTATTATTGTCATTGCTGCTGCTTATTCATTTATGTAATTTTGTCTTTTTCCTACAATGTTCTCAAGACAGTGTATGTGATTTCCTCATTTCCACTTTATCCTCACAACAGTCCTGTGAGGTAATTAGGCTTAGAGTGTGTGATCCCCAAAGGGCATCCAGAGAGTTTCGTGGTCAAGGGGGCATTTGACACCAAGAACTTCTGGCTTCTTGTCCAACTCTCTAATTACTACACCTAACTGCTTCCTATGAATATTATAATACATTTGAGAAATATTCACTGTTCGTATCGTTACATTAAATGGGAAGTTGGTAAGTGACAATTTCTGCTTCCAGGTCTTGTTAAGTAGCAAGTAAAACATGCAAACATATGCAAATCTGGTCTTACTTCATCAATAACCTTTTGTAAGAAAAGGTTAGCAGCTATTTAAAGGGCACACAATGTAGAAACAGAGCCAATCTGGAGAGCATACCAGTAATAATAGAGTTTTCACTTAAGATAAGGATTTCAAAAGTTCTCCAGTTTCATGAAGCCTTTCTGTCTAGTAAAGCACTGCTTCTGACATTATTTCTACACCACTGGAGATTTACTGAACTGATAAAAATGAAAAACCAAGTCCACATGGTCAGATTGTTGTGTAATTAGTCAGACGTTATGACTAGGGTTGTGTCAGTTACTATATGTATTGGGAAAATAAATTGGGAAGCAACGTTCTTGTTGGCATCTTCTTCTGATAGCCTTCTTCCTTCTAACAGCATGGTTTTCTTCAAAGTCACTCTTCAGAAAGAGGAGTGGGGGCTGCCATGTTAAGAAAATGCTACTTCTTTTGCTATCTGCTTCCACAAGGTCCTGAAGTGAAACAAAAGAGGCACTGGCATTTTGACTAATTTATGGATCTTTAAGCCACACTATGGCATTTCAACCTCCTATAAATTTGATTTTTCCTACATGATTTGTCCAAATCCTCTTGCCATTAACAGCTGCAAAGTCTGTATTTCAACTATTTTCATCTGAATCATTCTACCTATCAGCAGCCAATCCTTCAGAATGGCAACGGTTAGAAAACATGTGTTGCCAAAGAACAGCAAGTAAACCTAACAAAGAATGCAAATTCATTATCCACTTTAAGTAAATATGTTTGTAGAAGCATAGACCATTAGAAAGATTTTTGTTTTGTCTTGTCTTGTTTTTGTTTCTTAGTTTGCTTTGCACAATTCCCAGACTCCACCACCTGGCACTACTACTGCCTATTCTGATTCTAATTTATGGCAACCCTTTTCAGTTTTCCAGGTAGAGAATATTCAGATACTGTATGGTTTACCATTCCCTTCTTCTGAGGGTGCCCTCAGACTCTACACCTTTTACCCGAGGCCACATAAGCTGGCTCTAATTCCTGGAGGCACAGTGGGGAATTGAGCTCCTTACCTCTGGCTGCACAACTAGATACCAAAATCACAGAATGATGGGTCACCAGAAAACCTAACCAAATTCAAGGCAGAGCAACTGACAAGGAAAAGGACAAATCTTCTCTGTTGGGGGAAGCCATGCCCACATGCAAAGACAACACTATGCAGTCGAACAGATCCAGGTTTCTCCTTCCACAAGCCTTGTCATATACAAAAGCAGGGCATTAGAGCTCTCTTGGGAACCAGCTGTTGGTAATGCCTGCCAGATCCTTGTCAAACATTTCCTGCAACAGGCTGGGCTCCAGTTTCAGGAGGGATAGGCCCAATTACCTTTCGCAAGGGCTCTTTTAGCCAGAAAGCAACAGGGAGAGATCTCATTTGTTCCTTGCATAAGAGGCCCCTAATGCCTCCCTGACTGGATCTTCCTTCCAGATCTTCTTCCGGTTACACGTCTGGCTGAGGAGGGTAGTCCTGTATCCAGCTTTGCACTGCTTTCCTCATACAGGCTGTCTGTCTAGATGACCCCCCTATTCAGGGTGTTAAAAATAACCACCCTTTCATATTCTGACATTCCCCATTTTTGTTTTTAAGGCTACAAGGACACAATTTTGTTAAAATTCATAGGAGTCAGGATATGGCTTATGAAATTTACTACTGCCTCCCCCCCCCCCGACACACACACATAAATAAACTGGTACATGTCACTTGAAATCCAAATATGAAACAACTGGCATATCACAGATGGCACAGCTAGTTGGAGACACAGAGGTGCTTCAGAGGGTCCAGAGGGCCTACTTCTGTGCACTCCCACCATGAAATGAGAGGGAAAGCAGAGCTCGACTGAGGCTATTGGCAATCCCTTCACATCCAGCTCCTGAGCCTGTTTATGGGGATAGATCATCACCTCAATGTACTGGGCACATATGGGTAAATACTGTGGTATCCTGATGTGACTTCTTTCTATCTTTGGTGGAAATGGCAAATTATGTTTCCTATAAATTAGAAGCAGAAATGTCTAACTCCCTCCCATCACAAGTGAAGCTAGGGAGAGGAGAAGACACACGGGAGACTGTTTTGTTACTTTGTTCTCATGACGGCAAATCACAGTCCCAATGCTGCCAATTTATATATCTTTAATATAGCAATATACTATGAAAAAATCAAGGAAATTAAGTAATGCCATACACACTGAAGGTGCCAGAAAAAGCATACAGATTTACTTAATTTTTTGTGCATATTTGGTAGTGAGGTACAATTATAAAGACATTTTTGAAAGTTACATGGGAAACGACTCGCCTATCCCTCAAGTTATCCTTCTAAATTATATAGTGAAGTGATTTAATAAGAAACAGAAGGTGCTGGTGGGAAATGTCTTGACTGCAGCTAAAACAGCAAGCCCTTGAGATTCTAGGATATTAGGAAGGATATATGTTTAAGGAATGGTGTAGAAACATCTAGCCTGGATAGACTAAAGAATAAATGGCTGCTACTGAACACATACAGATAGGAATAGCAAAGGGTGAACATTCATTTTAAAAGAGGAATCACGTGGCTTTTAAAAACAAACTAGAATCAAAATCAATCCTGTCAACTCTTTAAAGTCTGGCCTATTTATTCAGTGTTATCAAAATAGATCTGAATAGTGTGCTTATTATCTTGCATCTAAGTATTTTCACCAGGCTGCCTTATATAATAACAACAAGGAGGAGGATTTGAAGGAATGGCTTTAGTTATATGTTCTATATTATACTGGCTGAAATCCAATAGTAAGTTGCAACTTGAGTAGGCCAAGAGAATCAAAGGAAATTATGGAAGGCTCGCCAAATCCCCCCTTATTCAAATGGCCTATTCTTGTTGTGACTTACTACTGGATTTCATCCACTGACTTTGTATGGTTTAATAAATCAGTAGTATGTATTTTTCTACTGTTTGCAATATAGACATTTAATCCTATTAAGGATTAAGGTTAAACTTTCATCATGATGATGATGATGATGATGTAGTAGTAGTAGTAGTAACAACAACAACAACAACAACAACAACAACAACAACAACAACTGTACAATTTCTTTGCAAAACCTCATAACAATGGCAAAGAACCAAAATTATTTACATGGGCTCAATGGGGCTTCAGATTTATTTTCCTAGTATAGCAACCTGCCCTTATTCTGAGGATGATACTTAAATGAAATATCCCGAGCTTCTGATGATGTCAGCTGAACAGGAGATATGCAAGTTCAGATAAAAATAATCTAGAGTACAATGTATTCTCAAAGGCTTTCATGGCTGGGATCTGATGGCTGCTGTGGGTTTTTTGGGCTCTTTGGCCAGGTTCTGAAGGTTGTTCTTCCTGACGTTTTACCGGTCTCTGTGGCCGGCATCTTCAGAGGACTGGAGTAGGAAATCTGTCCATGCTCTGTTGCTGTTTGTTGGACTGTTGAGTATTTATAGCTGTGGGAACAGCTTTTGTCCCTTTTTGGAGATAAGGTGATCAGCGTGTTTTTGTTGTGGATGTATTGTTGTGATAAGGGGGAGAGATTATCTGTCACTGTGGTTGATGGGATTCTTTAGCTGGTCTTTTTTGTGCAATGAAAAAAGACCAGCTAAAAGAAACCCATCAACCACAGTGAAAGATAATCTCTCCCCCCTATCACAACAATAAATCCACAACAAAAACATGCTGATCACCCTATCTCCAAAAAGGGACAAAAGCTGTTCCCACAGCTATAAATACTCAACAGTCCAACAAACAGCAACAGAGCATGGACAGATTTCCTACTCCAGTCCTCTGAAGATGCCGGCCACAGAGACTGGTGAAACATCGGGAAGAACAACCTCAGAACACGGCCAAAGAGCCCAAAAAACCCACAGCAACAATCTAGAGTACCATTGAGCAATTTCCTTTCTTTTCCTTTCTCCACAAATTCAAGATGATATGCACAGACATTTGAGCAACCACCCATCTGGGCACTGAGCAGATCCACCTAACTGGCAACATTAGGTGAATTCAAGACAATATCCCAGAACCTAGCAGAAGCACCTTGCATCGCCCCAAAGAGCTCATCAGAGCATCTCCATAAAAATGACAAGACACATGTATTTCCCAACAAGTTTTCTTACCCTCCTTCAAAAATTTTAATTCTCATTGGCTCAGTTTGTTTGGCTGCTATATCTTTATCTCCATGGCTGTCTCCTTTAATTCTTTCTTTGATAACATTCCCTACTGCTTTCTTTTCAAACTTGCCGCCAAATACAAAGAATGGCTCTTGTTTCATCTGTGAAATGGAGAAAGAAACACAACAGAGTCACTAATTGCTGACAATTTTGAAACACAGAATTAATGTAACAAATGTAAGCAGAGTAACTGCATTGTACCATGTTGATACAAATGCTTTTGGATATACATAAACCATACACCTTAGTCAGAATCGGGAAACCAATTAATCTGACCCTTTGACTTTGCAAATAAATAAATGAGATCAGCAACAGACAGAATAGAAAAGTTTGTGAAGTGCCTGTAAGCACAACACCACATTATGCCATCATATATACACACAAAAATAAAGATAAAGAAGACTTACTAGGGTGATCAAAACCAGTCAACTGCTAGCACTGGGATTTCAAGCCACAGTCTGTGCAAAGCCATCTGGCCCATCAGGGTTGGTGTGGTTAAGACACACTAGTTTTCTCTGCCTACAGTTCAAAAGGCAGTGATGTGGCAAAAAAAACACCCAGACCCAACTGCCTTTGGTCTCCCCAACCCACGGCATCAGGTACTCAACCATTGCTATAACATCCTGGGTACAACTAAATGTTCCAACTGGGAGGAATAATGGCATAGTCTACATCAGGGTTGGAAAAATAATATTTCGGCTTGAACAGGATTGTCACTTACGATGCTTAAAAATTAAAAACCAAAGGCTTGGTTAGAATTTGGACATTTTTTTTCCAGCTATGATCTGCTCTATTGCTTTATAATTCTGAGAGCATACAATTGATAAATGCAGATTTGTCATCCACATGATATTAGCTTTGGGTAACAGGTAGACCCCTGGACAATTTGAATGTATTCATGTTTTAGCCAAAAATCATCATCATCTGCCATCTGAATAAGATGAAAATGAAAGTATAGACATGTGAAATTAAGGTCGGTAAACAACATTAAGTTCGTCATCCGGAAGTATCATGTTATCTAAAGAAACAACAGTTTAAAAAAATATTGCTCATAGTATGACATACTTATTATTTTGAAATTTTTAATTAGCTTTGCAATTAGCTCCATTGCATCAAAATTATTTTAAAAACCCAGAAGTTCCAAGTACACTGTTTGACACAATGTGAAATATTAGTTACTTTTAATTTATTTTAATGCTTTCTTACAAGCTGGTTGGGATGCAACACTTTCCTCTGTTAAGAGTGATTTTAGAACAATTTCTGTGAATGAATATACAGTATTCAGAAAGCATTGGAAATCCACAGAGCTTTTTCAGAACATGAGAAGAATGCTATGTTCTTGTTATCTCTTGTTTATAGATCTTTTTGTGAAAACCTTGGCAATAGCTATTCCAAAATAATGTACAGTATTTATTACTCTACAGAATAAAAACTAGTCTAAAACCATACACTGGTAAGTTTTGGATGCCCTGCACTTTGCTGGATAATGTCACATCTAAACTTTAAATAAGCACACAGAGAGAGGACCATACACACAGAGAGAGGGAGATATTTAGGAACATATTAATTACCTGAGCAAACTGTTTCCAAGCACTCGATGAGGTCAATTTCCCCGTTCCAGGCCTATGCATTGGAGACAATGTATAAATTTCTGTACTGTTCCTCTGCTTGGATCGCAGGAGTGCAAGGGTAATCTTTGTACTCAGTCCTGATGGGTTGGGGTTACATGAACTAATGCACCATGAAGCATAAACAGAAGATTTCAGGGTTGCTTGTTGAACAAAACTGGGTTTTGTGTAGTTTAAGAAACACCAACTCACAGTTGTGGTGGTGCGCAAACTAGGGTACTGTAGCATTTGCTGGATATCAGCAAGATCTGTCAAGAGAATTGTCGAGGTCACTGCTTTCCCACTTGGTTGGGATGCCATCTGAACCAACATACCAAAGGGCATTCTCTCTTGTCTTGACTGGTCTTCTGTCTGATTTTCCCCTAAAGGCAACAAAGGTCTCTGTGGGCTTAAACTCATATCTGAGGCTGTTTCATCAACATCCAGTTCTTCAGGTGACTCTCTACCTTCAGAAGTGCCACTAGACTTTTGCCCTGGTGAAGCAGAGTCAAAACTGGGAAGCTTTTCCCTGTTCAGTGGGGAAGATTCAGCGGCAGTAGATGGCAAATCTTGAGATGAAGAGGACGATAATGGGGAAGAAGGCAAGGTGGACGGCACATTTTCCTTTGGCTCAGTAGTACAGCTTTGCCTAACCAATTGAGGTTTTTGTGGCCTGGGAAAACTTTTCTTTATGTTTGAGCTGGTGAGTTCTACAGCACTTAGCTCCTCGACAATCTGTCCATACATTTTTTCATCCTTGACTCTCTTTTGCTGTTTAGTCTCCATAAAGAGTTCCAAGCTGCTGGCTGGTGAAAGCATTCGCTTGTTTCCACCTAGGGTTGAAGCAGTGTCTGAACCAGAGGTCAAGCACAACGGGATGGAGGAGTCCAAGTTAAGTGACAGGGTCTGTGGTACCTTCCACAAAGGATATTTTTCCAACCTTCCATGTTGGCCTAACATCTGCGCTATATTAAATCCTATTCCATGCATGGTTGCACTTGTTGCTAATGTCCTTTGGGAAAGAGTCTCATCTACTTTGCAAATGACAATAGCTGGGCTGCTGCTCTGAGCAAGGATCTGGGAAATGCTTGTGTACATAACACTACCATAGGATGGCACATGAGTCTGGATCCGAACAGGAACAACTGTGCCTGGTAATGATCGAGCAGACCCAATATTCTGGGTTTCAAAATCTACCTGTAGCTGCTGCTCAGAAGAGGTATCTGTTGATTTAATGCTACAATCTGGCTGGTATGTTGCAAGTGCATTTGTAGAATATTCCCCAGATGTTCCTGAGTAACGCTGGTAAGTTTGCTCTTTCGTATGTACATAATCAGCAGTTTTCTTTCGAATATGCTCCTGAGCATATTCCAGATGGTAGCCTGGGTGACTCTCTGTTGGGAAAGGTTGCTTTGAGTAAGATTTTTGAAGCTGCTGTACAAAGTGATGCTGAAAGTGGGTCTGTGAAAGTTCTGAAGGCCACAAAGGCTGAGATGGCAAATGGACCATGCAGACAGCTGGGTATGGAAACTGCAACAGAGTGTTGTGCATGGGGAGAAAGGGAACCTTTTCTTGTAAAGCAAACAGATGCTGCTGTTCTGCTGAATATTTGCTCGGTATATAAGGTGCTTGCGGAATGGAGGGATGGGGAAGTGGGGATAAGCTGGTGCTATGGGGTGGACAAGAACCTGTAGCTTGTTTTCCAGAGTCATCTGACTGTACACAAGAGGGGGAGTGGGGCCATGTGACTAGAGAAGACCGGAGACTGCCATGCCCATGTTCCATTTGCTCTTGTTTTATATTTTGTTCTATGCTTGAGTCAGTCTGGGAGATCTCTGGGGAACCACTGAAGGAAGCCTGGCGCACCAAAAAGCATTTCTTCCTTTCTCTTGCGGGAGATAAAACGACAGGAGGTGCTCCTGCAGCAGAGGCATGTGACAGATTCCCATAATCAAAGGATTTACTTCGTATCTCTGGGATTTCTGCAGGGTGAGGGCATGGCATCTGTTCCGATGAACAACGTCTCATCTCTTTCTGTTGGTGATGCCCTGGGACGGAAAGTGAGTAAGCACCAGCTGGGACGGTTAAAAACTCAGACTGTTTACCAAACTCGTCCTGTTTGGTTGATGTAATGAACTTGATACTCTCTTCCCTTTCAAAGGACATTGAAAAACTTGAACTGTGGGACAAATTACTCTCTTGGCTGGGACTCCGGGAAAGGCTCGTCCCCGTGGACTCAAAGCTAGACTCGCCAGAGGAATGCTCCAAGTCTGCAAGCCGCAAGCGCTTTTTCTTGGGTGGGAGCTTTTCAGCTGGGAGTTGAGAAAGGGTTTCACTCCTCTGTGGCCACTGAAATTCTTCCGCTGCCTTCTCGGGCTCTTTCGTGGGGATTTCCTTCTCCCTCTCAGGTTTGTCAGGCTCTTCGGTGACACGAATCTCAGGTACCTGTATATTATGCTGGCGAACAAGCCTGGGCTGCATATGATATGGCTGGGAAGAAGGCAGCTTGCTAACACTGTCAGCATTTTCGGTCTGCTGGACCCTATCTGGGCTCATTGGAGACTCTGCAAGCTCATTGTCACAGGCTTCCGACGATAAATAAAGTTTATCCTGTTGGCAAGCGGCAAGCTCTGTAGACTCAGATCTTTCAAACGAGTTTGGCCGGCTCAATGAGTTTGTGTGCTGAATGACAGAAATTACATTCCCTTTTCTACTCAGAGATTCCGCAGTCTTTTCTTGGTCAGCAGTTAAGGAAAATTCTTCGATACTTGTGACTGGGCTGCCTGACTGCAGATGGGGTCTACAGATTTCAAAGTGGTCTGGGTGAGAATGAACAGAACTGTCATGGCTTTGAAGAATATATCCACTTCTTGGTCCTTCCTGCACTTGGGATTTAGGATCAAAATCAGGTGTCATAGGGCTACCAGTAGAACCACTGTATAGTGACGGAGTGTCTTCCTCGTCACCCACACTCTTCTGGATTCTCCGCTTCCTGTTTTCAAATATAATGCCATAGGTAGAAGAAACTGCCTGCAACTGTGTGGGTGATTCAGTAAAACATTCTCCTCCTTGCTTTGATCCACTCAGACCTGATGTTTCTCTATAGTTTTGTTTCAGGGCCCCATAATCTTCCCATTTTCTGTAATGCTTTCCAGTGGGATCTCCTTCATAAAACTTCTTCTCCCTCATGCTTGGCCCTTTTTCTCCTGCACTTGATCTGCTGAAAGCAACCATCATGTTCTTTCCCATTCTCCCATGGTACTCTGAATCCGAGTGTCCTTCTTGTAATGATGGCAACTCAAAAGCTGCTTGTCTTATTAACATTCGCTGGTGGGGTGTTCCTATTGCCTCAGGATAAAACACATCATCAGAACCAGTCATCCTTTCGTCAAATGAATGGCTTCCTCTTAGAGCTGATGGGACATTCAAATTGGTTGCAGATGATGTTGGCATGGAGTTGCTCCGAATAAGTGGGTTTGTATCTGCTGGAGGTTCCAGAAGGAGAGAAGTATTGCTTGGGAGGCCTCCTGAATAAAGACTCAGTTCATCTTTGATGGTTGATGTGACCATCTGAGACTGTCTGGATTCTGTACTGCTATCAATAAAGACTTGGCTACTTTTTATAGTGCTCATTTTACTAGGATCAATTAGTGCTTCTTTGTTGGGAGACATTCGCTCTTCTAGCATCTTGATGTCTAACCTAGGGCTTACAAGGGGTTGTGGTTCTACCTTGCCTTTTCTGCTCATGGAGCTAAGATCTTGATTGGCTGTCGCTAGTGGTTGTGCAGTCCTTTGATTAATCCTATAGAACTTGCCAAAGATGATTTCTTCATAAGACTTTGCATTGGTATTTGGTGGACTTATTTGTTGCTCTGCACTTTCTGACCGTGAAAAATAACCGGAATCAGTGCTTCCTTTGCTATGCGGGCTCAAGAGATTTAATGACTGCTCAGAATCTTGCCCTTTCTTCTCAGACAGTCTTAGTGCAAGTCGTTGCTTAACTGTGTGTGAGTCATCACACTTGGTACTTAAGGGGTTTTGCAGATTGTCAGGCCCAATGTGCTGGGTGCTTTCACATAACTGCATGCCACTTCTAGGGATAATCAAAATAGGGACTTTCATTGGGCCTCCCAAGGATTCCTCTATGGACGAGTGCAAGCCACTTCTGCTAGTAATGTCCAATGGAATCTGCGGAACTGGGCTCAGTTTATCAGAACTTTCAACCAGTAATGAAGTCTCCTCGTCAGTATCTGTACTCTGCTCCCCATCTGAATGTATGTCAGCTTCCACATCAATGAAACTGGCGTCCAGGTCCAATTTAGAGACAGCTGACTCTGTGAAAGGTACTAATCCTGCTTTAATTGCATGGGCATGTGATTTCCTGTGCTTGTACAAATTGCTCTTTGTCTTAAACGAGAATCCACAAGGAACACAAGGGTATGGACGTTCCCCAGTGTGGGATCTAATATGTTTCTTAAGTACACTAGGTTTGGCACAAGCCCTGCTACAGTAAGGGCAAATGTATTTCCCAGGCTTTTTGGGTTTATGTTCTTTTTTATGACTATCTTCTGGCTGTTGCTCTAGAGACTTCTGAGAATACTGGCTATAAGCAGGGTTCAGGCTCGAAATTTTCTTTCTGGAGAAACTGCCACTGTGGCCATGTACATGAAATGGAAATAAGTCCTCAGAGGCAACTGGTTGCAGATGGCCAGGGAACTGCCATTTATGGCCTTCTAGGCTCTGGTGTGGCTTCAGGCTGTGCAGGTATCCTTGTGGTAAAGAATGTGGAGGGAAAGAAAGTGAAGGTTGACACGAGTAGGGACTTGGAAGGTGCTGTGGGTATTGCTTGTCTGTGGTGTGTTGGGTAGAATCACTTGGTGATGCTAACTTCCCAGAACTAAAAAGTTGTGCCGGCGCAGGACTTTCTATGTGTTCAGGATCGATTTGTGCCTGTCCTTCCAGGCTGCCCATCGCATTCATTTTAACATTAGCTGAATGTTCTTGCCTCCATCTACTTGGTATTTTAGCTGTTTCACCAGGCCTTGAGGTAGTGTTTTGCCCTACAGCTGTATCTCCAGAGTCCATTTTGTCACACAAGGTCTTCTAAGTGTTAGTCCACTTGAGAGCTGTACAGGCACATGAAGTGTATCCAGTGCTGTGCTTTTTTTTTCTTTTTAAGGTTTGGTTGCTCCCATTTCCCCAGAGCTGTTCCACATTCACAGACTTTTCTTTCCCTGTGGAACTCTCCACACAGTAGTCTTATAGGCATTAGATCTTTTGCAGCTTTATGCTAAGAAGTAATTGTCACACCATTCTGTTCATGGCAGGAAATGTCTCTGAACAGTTTATTATACATCTGTCAAAACTCGCTTAGGTATTTGAATGTTATCCATGGTTATTAAGGGTTCAGACGAAGAATGATTCTCAGGGATATAATTGCTCAGCCACTAAAGCAGAGTTCTAGACATTCGTCCCAAAAAGATGCAGCTGCCTGCAAGACAGTAAAAGATAAAATAGAAATCAAATGTATTTTAAATAAACAAACAAACAAACGCATAAAAAATGTAACTAATTTTTAAGAGACAAAGCAAAAATGATGATGGTCAAGTCACTTCTGACTTATTATGGTAAACCAAATAATTTTTTCAGATGTTCAAGAAATGGCTTAAATATTGCCATTCCCCAGTAAGTTACCATGACTGAGCAGAGATTTGAACCCAGGTTTTATGAGGCCTAATCCAAAACTATCTGCTACATCACACTGGCCAGACCTAGTATTATTGGGGCTACTTGGTTTTTTTTTTAATTGGATTTCTACCCTGCACATCTAGGCCAAAGGTCTACTCTGGGACTCCACTACCTTGTCAATAGCTATCAGTGCTTTCCCCCATTATTTTCCAATGAAACAAACTACATGAGTGACATTACTGTTCCTTGGTTTTCCTTGTGCCACTTTATAACCACTGTTTACAGAAATGAAAAACATCACAATGGCCAAAACCCTGTTGGTCACTTAGGCATGAGTGCATAAAATTTCATAAGTCACTGAGCTGAACTACTGGGAACGACCAAAAGGCCTGAGCACCAGGCACATGTTCAGTAATACAACTGGTGTCTTATCAGTTAGTGGCAATTTGCCACAGCAAGTCAAACAATTTACCTTATTCACGTGTACATCAACAGCAGGACTCTGGTCAATATGATAATATAGCTCCACAAGTATGCATTTTATAAGATTTTACCAAGATCACATGACAGCCTACTGTTTTGGTGGCAGCAGTGCAAGCCTCATAATGTTGGTTTCAGGAACACTAAATCTAAATCTCTGTTTACTCACAAACAGACATTCTACCTTTCTGAGGGCAGGTCCCAATATTATTAAAGCACCAGAACATACCAAATAAAAAGTCAATTGAAATATTCTGAAGTTTTGCACAAAAATGAAAAAAAAATTGGCACAAATTGTTTAAAAATCAGAATCATTAAATGTAAATCTAAAACCCAATAAGTACATTTGAGCTGCTGAATGATCAGAGAATCTACAATAAGAATAATGGCACAATTGGGATCAGCAGGTGTTTTCAGGGTATTACTTTCTGTCCTTTTTCATAGTCACTAAAGAAAATCACAGACTAATCCACTGCAGAGATAATCTAAATCACTACTGCAATTACTAATAGATTCACATGAACATTTTAAGTAACATGATATACTCAGGGATATCTAGCATTAATCACCCTGTGAATTATATTTGGCTGAAATAATCCTCTCAGGACATCTAGGCTTCATAGCTTAATAGAGATTTAAAGCCAGGTTCCTTCAAGGCAAAGCCCAACATTCTTTCCACACTGGCTCCCAACTTGAAGTTGTTTATTATAAAACAAGGCCAGGACAATGCCCATGTGGCTTATATACCACAGCAGCACTCTTCAAAAAAACAAAGACTAGAGGTCCTATTGTTGGTGGCACTGAAATTGCTTTAATGGGGCAGTACATGTTCAGCTACATGTTTACATGATTCTGCTTTCTGTGAAGACTCACTCTTATCTAAAGCCAAATTCCTTGAGTCACATAGGTATGTGGATTAAATCTCCTACTGTTTTAAAATTGTACATAAAATGCAACATAACGGATCCCCAGATTAGAACTGTTGTCTCACACATACAGCACTTTCCCAGTCCACATCCCTCACAAATTAATTTTAGTTCCACAATTGCTCTAATCCAGTTCAGAAATAGATGTGAAATAGATGGTGTCTATATGAAGTAAAAAATAAATAGACCGGGGGTTAGGAATATAAATATTTGATTTCATTTATAGATGAGAGCAAAATATTTCAAACGTTTTCTCCGCATCATATGAGATAAGACTTTTTATTATCTTTTTCATTTTCACACTTTTGCTTACAAAAAGAATCGAATTGTTTGTACAAAATACAAGGGTTTTTTGTGCAAAAGCCCCAGGTTGGTGGGTTGGTTGGTTTTCCACTAATGCTGCTAACAAGGAAAAAATGTGGGTCTTTTTTGTGCAAGAGCAAAAAAATAAAAGATAAGGAAAGAAAATAAATCTAATTGCAGCTGACCATTTTGCTGAGGATGAGAAAAATTGCAAGTGTTCATTACATCTTTATCAGGAGCGCATATTACAAATATGTCTCTTTGGGCTCTTAGATAAATACAGCAGCATCCACTATGTGTAAAGGATGGGCAGATGGGTTCACCATTGCCTCTGAAGCTAACAGAACAGCTGTTTTGCATATGTAAAACTCCTACAACAGGGCTTCAGGCAATTACTGGACTTGGACACTGGTATCTAACAAGGAAATGCCAGATGTGGTTAAAAGTAGTGTACTTTTTTCTTCTTAGGTTTTGCAGAAATAAAATATCAGGGCTGTGATACATGCAAACAAGAAAATGGCATGTGCTTAATTTAAAAAGATTTTCTTCTCCAGTATTAAAATAACGGATATCTTAAATTTTCCATTAGTTTAGTTTTTAATTTTACCTGCATCTTGCTGCCATCTACTACACATGGTTATCTTGAAGCTTCCTGAAAAGAAAGAAAAACACAGAAACAATTACAACAATGTTCAAAATCCACAGGAACCTTATACATGTATTAAAGTTGGTACAACGTTAGTTCATTTATATATAGTGAACAAAAAGGTTCAGTACAATCAATTTTGTGGAGAGAGGGCATAAGGAATGTGTCCTACTGGAGACTATGTATAGACTTGAAGGTACTGTAACTTTAATGTTACTTTAACAAAACCCTTATACATGTTTAATGTATTTCTACCCAGACTTGACAAGTCTTCTCAAGGCGGCTTACAATAAAATATTAAGACAAAACAAATACTGGATCATAATAACGGCAGCAGTAGACCTAATCATATACAGCAAATTAGATCCCCAACAGAAAGCACTGGCAAAAATTGGGGGTGGGAGTGGGAAGAAGTATTTACAGATTTCCTTAAAGCTGCAAAACTGAATTCTTAATTTTAAGGTGTGGGGTTACCACTGCAAAGGGAGGTTCTGGCTCCAGCCTGCCTGCCTGAACCCTGGCCTTGACCAGAACCAAATGGGTCGCAACATTGGCTGTGGGTGGTCATGGCCAGAGTTCCTGCCTGGTGCTGGCGGGAAATTAGAGGGAATGTGGGGGGGGCACTCTTTAGTTGTAAATTTTTGTATTTTCATGTTCTGGTGCTTTGGTTTTACATTCAAGGAAAAACCTATTTTGGGCTCCTCTTTTTATGCTTTCTAGTAGCCCTAAAGGACTCAGAAGAATTATTGGGAAAGCACTCACCCACCCACATAGATACAATGGGCGGGGAGAGATAGCAAAAAACAAGGCAAAACAATAACAACCCTCCACCCACACATAAAGCCTCCGCTCCCAAAAAACAAGAAAAGCAAGCAAGCAAATAAAGATAAAACATACACTCAATTCCCAAAAAACAAGAAAAGCAAGCAAGCAAGCAAAGATAAAACGTACACTCAACGCTCCACAAAACTGAATTTCTGTCCTCTCCTCTCTTTTTTATTGATTGATTGATTGATTGATTGATTGATTGATTGATTGATTGATTGATTGATGACTTAATGTATAACACTACTTTAAGTGGTTTACTTCCACATGTTGCCTTCTCTTCTCTTCTTAGAGTTCAACAGCAGGCAGTTCAGGCAGCAGCAAAAAAATTGAGAAAAGTACTGGACCAACAACAATAAGACATAATCCCAAGGACACATGCTGGCACATGAAAAATAATCCAAAGTAAGGAACCCCCGCCCCCGAAATCAAGAAAAAAAGGAGGGGAGGCCAAAAAAGGAGGAAAGGATTTGAGATGAAGGCACAGCAGGCAGGCAACAATCCAAGATGTAGGGCATCAGGAGCTCAGCATACAGTAATCCTTCCCACAAAGAACAACTGAAAGAAAGAGCACTCCTCACAGGGATCCAGACCATTTTACAGATTTAAAATTTCTGCTCCCCTCCACAAGATATTCTGATTGGTTGACTGACAGTCTTCAAAATGCTTTGAGTGACAAATTTCTCAGGCAATATGACAAACAAAAGGTGGAAGGGCTCTGAAATGTTACATGAAAGAGAGCATAGCAGAAACAAGAAACTTTCATATAACCCTCTTTTTAGATATAAAGCATTCATGTTTAAGAGGCTCTCTTTTAGCAGTGGTTGAAAGAACATGTATTGCATGAAAGAGAGACTCTTTAGCATTTTGGATCTATCTTTTACACATGGTAGGCCAATTGCTACAAAGAACCCAATGAATTTGTAACCATGTCAGTTTATACAGCTCCTTGAGAACAGGTTCTTTCTTCTAAAAGTACTAAATACAGTACTTCAATAAAAAAATTTTATTGTATCATGCCAGAAGGGTAAATTCATAATGCAAGGGGAGTCAAGGATTTATTGCTACGTAATTCTTATAACATTCCTGAACACTCCACATCATATGAAAAATACGAAATGCTGGGCTACAAATAATTTCCAAATTGCAATTAACAAAAATTATGGCTTTATTAATATACTAATTATTTTATTAATTATCCTATTAGCTAGGCACCAAATAAATAGAGAAGTACAGTTGCCTGTTAAACATAAAAACTGATTCAGAGGAAAGCAGATGGTGACAAGTAAAATAACTGTGCTATTACATAAATACAGGAAATAACATCTTTCTTTTCTACTAAATATCGCTGTCAGCCACAATGAGGAAAATGTCAAAAGCACCAACAATTCGCCTATTTCTATGGCCATATTTTGGTACATATTATTGACAATTGAGCAAGAGATGATTCACAGAAGCAGAACATGTAAAAAAGACTCCATGGGCACAGCGGGTCACTTCAGTTATTGTAGGTCTGGCTTCAGGACAGAGATCTTCAACATCAGAATGCATGCCCACGGCTACATTTACAATGCTCTCCCTTTCTATGCATAGTCTTCAACCTCTCTTTCCTCCTTGCTTCCTTCCTACTAATCATCTGCTTGTCACTGGGAATAAGAGATTCTGAGGACCAGTTCTGTCTCTCTAACTCAAGAGATCTCACATGAAACAGTCTTGTCTATAAAGGGGACCAAGTGCCCCCTTTACCCCTCAGGAGATCTTCCCTCCACTGGGATGAAGAAGGAAGTCTTCATAAGGGTGTACCATGCATGCACTGGAGAGTATAGAGATTGGGGTGTGCTTGATCACATCTACCAAAATTAAATGGATAAAGACAATGCCAGTGGTGTTTGTCTAAGGGTAGAAGACATAGCGATGGCCACCAACTTTGGCAGTTTTCAAAGGGAATTAGATATGTTCATGAAGGATAAATTTATCAGTAAACAAAAGCAATAACTGAGCTCACATCTCCAAGAAAACCACAAGGTCCGCATGCCTTTTAAAAAAAATATCAAATGTCATTTGAATGTAGACAAACTATTTGACTTTAATTGTAGTTTACTGAAACAGATTAACTTCAACTCATAGTTCATGAAGTTGGTTTGTTTCAGCAAATTGTGGTTAAGATTAACCACAGATTACGTCTTCGACAGCATGCTAAAATGCAGTTAATTTGAAGCTTCCAATCTCCATCTCATGGTGATGATGGGTCCGTGGAGAAGCACTCAAGACGAGGATTCACACAGCCTTATTCTTGTAAAGCCAAACCATGGCTTACTATTTCATGTGAATGAAGCCTTTAAACCTTAAACAATCTGAACAGTGGGGTAACTAGAGTTGAACAGAAGCCACCATGAATCCTTCTCTATGTTCTTTACCTGTCTAAATTTGGTACTTAGTGGCATCCTGAAGAGGGCAGCCTTGACTAAGTTTGTGATCATGACATGCCAGATGAGAGTCCTAAATAATACACAGAAGAGTCTCCTGGGATAATAGAGACTGATAGATTTCACCACAAGCTCTTGAGGACTATAATTTATTTCTTCAGATCTTCAAGTATTAATAGATACTTGAAGACCTGATATGATATGATATGATCTTATATTATATTCATTGTGGTTTTAGTTGCATTTGTGTGGGGTTTTTTATTCTGTTGTGAAGCTGCCCTGAGTCCCAGACTTGGGAGTAACACATAATCTAAAATAATAAAATAATGTGCTGATGTATATAGAATGAAAATGCTTTTTTAGCTCTGGGTGTTCATAAATTCCACTGCAAATAGATCTTCTCCATTGCTTCTAATGTTAGATTCCATGCATTTGTGGCATTCCCTAATATTCATGAGAATGAAACACCTGTGCTCACATAATTCCTGTAATATATATCACAACCCTGTGGAATACATGTTTGCAAGAAATCAATTTTAGAAGCCAGATTCTGCTAGTTGGAAAGAAAGAAATCCATCTCAGTGACTGTTAAAAAGCAAACAGCGCAGTCTAATAGATTATTAAACTGTTTTCCATATAAGCTGCGTAACTCTGTAGTAAGCTTCCCTTAGATACCAGATGTGGATTTACTTTATGGCTACTAGTCATAAAATACTTCAAAAGTTAATTACAATTTGGTACATTCAGACCAGGTTGGGTTAATACAAGTTCAGCAGGCTACCGATATGAAAAAAATGTATGCAGAGTCCATACAGAGTTTAAAGGAAATAAATAACTAATTCACATAATCACTGAAACAGTCTGGGAAATGCTATCCTACAAGTACATACTATTATTGATGAGATTTGAAGATTTTCGAAACATTTTATGTGAATACCCGTGTTTAAATGCAAGCAGAAGGCCCCCTTCCCATAACTTCAGCATTTAGTGGTTTCCCAAATGTTATATGACAATTTTCTCTTTTTAAAAGATTAAAAGCATTAATCTAATAGTGCCTCACTTGTGAAACCTGAAATATCCTGGCATTTTTAATCCCAACTCTTCTCTGAAATATACCTCCCCAGAATTTTTTGGAAACTAAATTTGGTCCTAGGCTAAAAGAGCACCCTCCTTGCCCCTTGAAGTCAATTGTCAAACAATCCCAGAATGCAGCTTTATTCCCATTTTCATTGCTATTTAATAATTTTTATTTATGGGATAATTTTTGTTTAGCTTTCTATTCATTCATTTATTTATTTATTTATTTCATTTATATCCCGCCTATCTAGTCAATTGTGACCACTCTAGGCGGCTTACAACATACACTTAAAAAAAATAAACATATAATATACCACATCACAAAAGTTTACATAAATTAAAAGATAGAGTAAAATTTTTCCCAAAGATGGCGAGAAACAGGATATATTATAACAGAAAAAAAGAATAATTAGGTATTAGGTGGAAAGGGGGAAGGCCTGCCTGAACATCCATGTTTTCAGTTGTTTCTTAAAAATACCCATCGAGGGAGCTGCGCGAATGTCAGGAGGTAAGTTGTTCCAAAGGCGAGGAGCCACCGCCGAGAAGGCCCGATTTCTTGTTTTTTCCTTCCGGGCCTCCTTCGGCGTCAGGCTCTTCAGCCTCACCTCCTGACTCGCACGGGTGACACAGGTAGAACTGGGTGGGAGCAAGCGTTCCGCCAAGTATCGAGGCCCTAAA